TGGGGGTCCGGGCGGGGCGCTGCGGGCGGGCGCCCGGTGACACCCGCCTGAACCAACTTGCGGTAGGCTCGGGCCCACGCCCTAAGGAGTTAAAGCTTTCTCATGTTACCCAGCGGCTTATAAGGAGGGGAGGCCAAGCCTCCGCCTTATTGGGAGCCTTTTGGGCGTTATTCTCTGCCCTTCTAACTTGGTGAGTTGGTTTTATTATTTTACATGTTTAAAAGTTTGATTGTGGGCTGTGGGTTTTTATTTTCATCTGTGTTAGCCTTTTTTTGCCGGCTGGGTGGTGGGAGGCGGAGGACAGCACTGAACATGTTAACATTTTGGAGAGGTTATTCCGAAAAATGTGCTCTGACACTTGGGAATGCTCAGGGCCACCGGGATGACGCGCTCTTGCCCGTTTGGCAGCTGAGAGTTGAATGATCCTGACCCTGGTACAGTGGGGTCTGGAAAGTACCTTAAAGGCAGGCTTGGCTTTTCAGTGTTCCCCGCCTCGGGTGAGGGGCTCCGAACTGTGGGGCGAGTCGGGGGCACTGGGCTCAGCCCCGCCGTGGATTTTCCGCCTGCCGGGGATGCCTGCGCGTCCCAAGAGCCAAACGTCAGAGGTACCTTCCCCTGGCTCGCGCGCTCACGCAGGGCGGCCACCGAGGCAGCGCGAGGGAAAGTGGGGTTCCGTGTCTCCCCAACCCAACACACAAATGGGGCGCCAACGTGCCCCCCGCCACCCCCGCCCGGGGAAGGCAGGCATTTCTCGGCAGAGCGCGCAGGTCCTACACCTTGCCGGTCAGAGCTGTCAGTGGCTGAAGCCTGGTCCCGCTCAACTTCCAAGGTTCCCTGAGCTGCCAACCACAGAGAAGCGCCCCGGCTGCTGAGCAGTTCTGTAGCGAGGGGGGATGGTTCTGTAGAGGAAGTGGGTTATTTACTTCTCGGTTTTTTTTTTTTCTTTTTTTAAAGCTATATCCCCACTCACCCCAGAAGACAGGTGAGAGTTTGTGCGGTGGCATATAAAATGTCACGAAACACGGGGACTGGTGACGTTAGTCTTAGAGCTCTCAGAGCCAACTGGGAAAGAGCGATTACAACTTGTCAGCCAGGAAGCTAGTTTTGTTTGCACTGTTAGACACTCTGTGTCAGCTCTTTCTCCAAAGATATGGTTTCTACCCTGCGAATGAGATTTCTCAGTCATTTTACTGTTTTGCAAATCATAGTAAGACGAGTGTCTTGTTTGCAAAAAATACCAAGTGCTTATGCTGAAATCTCTCAAGTGCTGCCTCTCCCCATGTCCCAAGCACTATTCCAAAGCATTTGGGGACTCGACAATACATCTTGCCCCCGGGGGATACAGAAAAACCTCTTCTCATAATTAAGGGAAAGGCGGCCAAGGTGGAGAGTCACGGTATGTCAATAAACAATGCAGCCAATTGTAAAAGCCCCTCTATATTAACGAGTACCACTAACTAAACCTGAGCTTTCCTTCTGTGGTTCCAGAAAAGGGGCTTTCTCAGTGGAGCTCCTGAGGAGGATGCTTAAATTAGGGACTCAGGTTTCGACATCTTGATCTTGTAAAATGGGTGAATCGTTGTATCCAGTGATTCAGAGCTGCTGAGGCAGCCGTCCAGGTTAGGGTTGGGGATTTTTTTTTTTTTTTTTGAGAATTCAAATGAACGTCACACAGAACCATTTTGACACTGGGGCCAGAAACAACTTGTCTAAAGCTGTTATCCAGGCTACGCCTTTTAAGAAGAATGGAGGTTTTGGCAATGTATTGCCTAGGCTCTGCTTCTACCAGCAGCCACCACCATTTTCATCAAAGCTTGCATTTGGAACTTTGCTCTGAACTGACACTGGACAACCGCTCTGATGGCCTATAATAATTTTATCCATTCTTCGTGCCCCAGATCAAATCTCTTCTCAACAAATGTAATCATATTGAAATTCCCAGGTATAGCCGCTTCACGAGCCTTGACAGAATACTCATTTATTTAAGGTTATGACAACTAAATGCTCTTAGGAGATAAACCAACTGCCCAGCGTATTTTGTTAGCCTTCCTTTGGAAGAACATTAGGGTAGAGACCAGATGGCTACCAAGAAGCCTGGTTCAGAATCATAGTTTTATAGTTGAAAGAACCTTCAGACTGCCATGTCTAGCCCCTGCTTTCACAGATGAGGGAATTAGAGATTAAGTGGTTTCCCCAACACTGTGCAGCCAGTGAGTGGTAAACAAATCCACAAATAATGCCCAGGGACCTCAAAAAGACAAAAAGGCTTTGCCTGAAAGGGCTCAACATGGGTCGAGAAAGATTATATTATACCTTAGAGCAAGTCAGGGTCAAAGGCTACCACAGAATTATAGAGTCTTAGAATAGGAAGGATCTGAGACTGTCGGAATCCAGTTCAACTCTCTTGTTAACCTGTTGAGGACACTGACCATTCCCGAGCAGAGTGATTCACCCAAGGCCACAGGGTCACTCGGCCTGCCTCACCACTTAGATCCCCACACAGTCAACTAATATCCCTTCTCATCAGATGACTTCGCATGACCATAAAACCAAAACCGACAGACATTTCCCTATTCTGGAATCTGTAGAGACTTCTAAGGAACTGAGTTCAAAACTCAGGCCTTAGTTCCATGCTTCGTAGAGGCTGACAGTTTATTAAGCCAGGTGGCCTACTGAATGAATGGGAGAAAGTTAGGGGACCAGTCCGAGACAGCATTTATTCTGCACCCAGGGCCTTCCTCATTTGATAACTCGGAGTTCTAAGGACAAAGCAGTGAGGAGCACCCCAACTCACACTTTGTTTAGTAAACTTCTGTTGAGCACCTACCATGTGCCCAACGCTCTCCTAGACACATAGTCAGGGAAGAGTGGCTGACTACCCCGGAGGTTCCTGCCCTGTGTGATTGTCCATGCAAAATGTGGAAGTCGTCATCCAGTATTTTTAGAAACCAGGTTATTCTATTATTATTCTATACTGTGGTCTTATCTTCAAAGCTAAAGTTAATAGCACACAGGATGCTTTAGGATAATAAAGGCGTAAACTTTATAGCAGAAATGGTTCTGGGTGGGAGGGTCATCTTTCTTTATGGTATTCCCAGTAATAAGAAGATTTCTGTCCCCAAAAAAACTAAGACTGCAGATGACAGTTATATTTGGACCTAGCTTCAGTACAGTAGCACAGAGGTAAAGCAACATTTTAAAAAACACAAAGTAATCGAAGACCCAGAAAGGGCTCAGAAAGTAAACAGTAGAGCAATCAAAAGGCCGCCATCTTCTATCCAGCCGCTTTTCACCCACATTTTCAAGAACCCATCTAGCGTGTTCACTTTGTCCCTAGCTCCCTGGTTTCCCTGGGCCACCAGCTTTGGTCTGAAGAATCGACTGAGTAATAAAACTGAGTGCTGAATACAAAAGTATTCAATGTTAAGGCTGGATGGAGCCTAATCTGTGACGACAGATTTGAGTAATGAGGCACTCAGGCCCAGAGAGGTGTGGTGACTTTCACAAGGTCACACAGATAACTGGTGAAACAGGTCACAGACCTCTGTACACACAGAAGTCAAGAGAGCTTTAATTTTGAAAATAATTGTTTTCTCACAACCTCTATATAAAACACCCTCCTCCCTGGTCTTTTTTATTTTTATTTTATTTATTTATTTTTTTAGGCGCAACCCTTGGTTGACCTCACAGAGTGTAAGGACCTTGTCAGCTTCCAATCCTTTATTTTTAGGCCTACAGCACCTGGTCTTCCTAGGTGGTCTCCCATCCAAGTACTAACCAGGCCCGACCCTGCTCACCTTCTGAGATCAGATGGGATCGGGCTTGTTCAAGGTAGCATGGCCTTAGACTCCCTGATCTTTAAAATGCTGTCCTGGGGGCTGATACAGCAGGGCCTGGAGGCAGGAAATTTGACTCCGGAGCAGTTCTGTCAAGTCCCTTCACCTCTCTGGGGTTCAGGTCCCTCATTTTGCAAAACGAGTAGGATTTTACAATGAGGAAATGGACAAGATGAGCTCCAGATTCCTTTCAGCTTTAACATTCTGTAATTCTAACCTCATTCTAGGGCTCCAGGTTGATCCTAATCCCACCCATTATGCATGTGGAAACCACTGATGGTAACAGACAAAGAAAATGGGATGGGCACCCAGCACCAGAGCTGACAAGTTGTCCTGCCACAGAGCCTTCTGATGATGGGTATGTAAACTCGTCTCATATAAAACTAGAATCCAGGCCTACACCAACAAAGATTCTGTGTCTTGATCCTGCAGTGATTTTAGGCTGGAGGGATATTCAGTTTGTCCCTGTGGGGCCTTCATCAATTTTATCCTGGTATGTTATTATTCTGCTTGGTCCTGAGCCCTCTGTTAAGACTCTAAGATCCGTGGGCACCCTTTTGGGTTAGGACGATTGTGCCAGTGTGGCCTTGGATTTAGCCACTTAGTCCTGCTCGTCAGAAATGTGCTAAGCACTAGAAGGACGGGGCTGAATGGTTTTATTTTATTTTGTATTTTTATCCGTACCGCCCTCCCCCTACTCCATCTACCTCCCCTCTCCCCCCCGCCCCCCACCGAATGGTTTTAAATATGATGCATTTCCATCTCAGGTTCCTTATTACTATCATCAAACATTTAAGTCTATGAAGGCAGAAACCATCTCTCTGTCTTTTCACTATACTATTCCCAGTGCCTAGCGTGGGGCCTAGCACTGGGAATAAGCATTTTTGTTGCCAGGTGGGGAGCTGCATGCGAGGTATTGGGGGGCAGTGGACATGCAAGAGATATAAGCTCCAGATATTGTTTTCCATGAGCTTATAATTTAACTGACCACAGATAGACGCATAAAAGTAGTCAGTACCCCATTATTTAATGATACCTGTCACATGAAGAAAGCTCCTTAGATTGGGCCATCAGAAGAAGCATCAGTGAAGATGAATTTTGATGGTACCTGGCCTTAACCATACCAGCTAAAGAGAGGGCATCCAGCCCTCTAGGAGGAGAAAAGGGCATGGCCACAGGCAAGGTAGTTCGAGCCTGGAGGGCAAGGAGGAGTTCATTTCGACCTTGGCAGGCAAGTCAAGTCTTAGAACAGGAAGAAAGAAGGCTACAAAGATAGCTTGAGGTTCACTGATGAAGGACATGGGAAGTCAGGTCAATCAGTTGGTTTTACCCTCAGAAAGAGAAAAGCCACTGCAGAACTCTGAGCAAAAAAAAAAAAAAAAATGTCACAACAACGGGGCATTTCAGAAAGATTAATCGTACTGGACATGAGGAATCAGTTGAGACTTGTAAGGAGTCATGGCTTCCCAAGGAAAACCTCA